TCTTATGCACGTCATGGTATTATTTTTATACTTGGGGCAAATTGAATGAAATTGCTATACCTTCTCACTTTTGGCTGGAGCAATAAATAGGGAGTGCTTGTGTAGTGTATTGGGATGTAAATTGTTCTATAATAAATAATTAAAAATAATTATAATAATTTATGTTGGATGATCATTGAAAATATGTCTAATTATTTTTAGAAGCACTTAAAATATCTAAAGTTGTTAAAATTTTTCTTTTCAATAAGTTGATTTATTCTTTAAAATAAAAAATAAAAGAATGTTAAAAATACATTAAACAAGTATATAAAGCAAACTTAAAAAAAATAATAATAATAAATAAAATTATTTTGAATCCTAAGAAAAAAAATTCACAGAGTACTTATTTCTAAGAAAAAATATTAAAAATATTACATCGGAAGAAGTCTTGATGCAAAACTGTATCAGGACTCCAATCACAATGCATCACATGTACGGTCCGACCCCCAGTGAATGCAAAAATCAAAATAGTTTAATTCGTGGACTGTACATGTGATGCATTGTGATTGGAGTACTGATGCATAACATCATGACTCCTGATGAATTATGTGGAGTGTTGAACATATATGATGGGTATTAATATGCGCAGTTCATTTTATGTTTTATGTTTAAAAGTTATATATTTATAACAAAAGTACTTAAATTTATCTAAATAAGAAAAAAAAATCATTTCAATCTTGAATAACATAACATTTTAAATTTTTATTACTAAAAAAACCATGTCCTATGTATTTAAAATAAATTACCAAACCCAAATAATTAAACCGATACAATCAAAAAATCAAGATAACTGCCATATAATGATTTTATAAATAGTAAAAGTTCTATTAACTCCCGTGTAACTCCTTCAATTATTTTCTTCCATATGCAAAAATGCTTTCATATATTTGAAAAATTACTTGCAGGTTGTCACTTGAAGGTAATTTCTTTTTATATTCTCTTCATGCTAATCTCCTTTCATAATTTTATTTTTATTTATATATGGAAGGAAATAATTCCATAGTCATTCACGAGAGAAAAGTTTGCGTACATCAGGGTTGTACTGAAGGTATTGGGGGGTATATCAGCATTATACCCTCTGTAACCTCCCTGTAACCTACCTGTGACCTACAAATATATGAAAACAGAAGCGTGAAACTTACTAGAAGGCACATGTAGGTTACACGTAGGTTACGAGGAGGTTACAGAGGATATAATCCCCCAATACCCTCTGTATAACCCTAACGTACACAGCGCTGCGTACGTCTTACGCACTCAAATTTTTTCCCACCCACTGACATCCATCATTGAATTACCATCTATTTTTTGAAGATAAAACTCAAAGTATGGCAATGAAATCCTCAATTCTTCAGCTCTACTTGTTTCACATCTAATATAATTGGAAAATTGCACTCCACTTTATCCTATCTTTGAATTTTCAAAAGCCAAAAAAATAAAGTATACAAATGATCAATTTCTAATACTCTATTTCCGCTTCATATCCTCCACTAACTTTATCCCATTCTCAAATTGTCTTCTTGCTAAGTTTCTGTTTACTGAAAGATCAAAATGGCCTCCAGATTTACCAGACTGTTTTCTGTATCTCTGTCCATTGTTGCAGTTTCCATTTTCCTTTGCTCCTTTCTTCTCTTCTTCATCAACACCACCATTTTCGGTGAACACAAAGCTGCCTACCATTCCATCATTCAAGTCCAACAGAGCTTCCAAAACCTCAACAGTGGCACACATTTGTGGCCTTGTCTTGGGGCTCTGGCTCAAACACTGGTAAGCCATTGCTGCCGCCTTCAGCGCAGCTTTCGTTGAGTAATTCCCATCAAGGCTGGGATCCATTATTCGTGATAGCTTCCTCGCATCGTTCAGGCATGGCCGCGCCCACTCCACAAGGTTCTGTTCTCTGCTGGGCCTCTTTGTATCCACTGATCTTCTTCCAGTTAGTATCTCTAGCAACACAACTCCAAAACTGTATACATCACTCTTTGCTGTGAGATGGCCTGACAATTAGATTATGATTTGAGAAGGATTGTATTGAATGCACTAGAAATAGATAGTGTGTGATAGTTTATACTAGGGGTGTAAACAAGCCAAACACGAGCGAGCCCAAGCTTAGCTTGTGTTCGGCTTGTTTATATTTCGAGCTCAAGAAATTGTGTTCGTGTTCAGCTCGTTTGCTTAGCGAACCGAAGCAAACGAGCCCAACACGAGCTGTTCACGAACAAAGAGTTATTTTGACAACCCTAATCATGTAGCCATAAGATGTTAAGGGTTGGGGCAATTTTTAAAAATTATTGTTTATATTAAAACATCATTAACAAGGCCCGTACGAAATCTATTAAACTATTCTATTTTTTTAAATTAATACTTTTAAGTGATTATAAATCTTTGCAGCCTTGAAGTCAATTAGTTTTATTAAAAATACTACTCATCAATATATATATATATAAATATATATATATATATAATTGATGAGTAGTATTTGGAGACACATATCTTTGTCTGTGTTCAAACAATGAGCCATTTTGATAGCCCTAGTTTATACCTGTCATGATGTACTCTGGTGCGGCGTATCCTTGTGTTCCCATGACTCTGGTTGAAACATGGGTGTTGTCTCCTTCGGGACCGTTCTTTGCGAGGCCAAAGTCTGATAGTTTTGCTGTGTAATCCTGAGAAGTGGAGAAGGTTAGGCTGAGAGGTCTTCTCTCCATTTATGAGATCTTTCTACATTAGAATTTTGCTATAAATGTTCTTTCATTTTTCAGAATTCTGATGTTGTTTCAAGCATTCCTTAGTCTCAAGTGAACAATATGTGAATTTGGCTTTTACTACTGATGCAATTTGTCCTCTTAGCTTAGCTAGGAAAGGAAAGGTGTGTTACCGAATCTAATAAGATGTTAGAAGCTTTAAAATCTCTGTAAATTACTGGCTTCTCAGTGTCATGCAGGAAAGCCAGACCCTTAGCAGCTCCCACTGCAATCTTCAGTCTTGTTGGCCATGGTAAGGAAGCAAATAACTCTGTTCAGAATGATAAAAAATTAATCTTGGTACAATAAAATAGCATGCAAAGTTATTTTATTTTTGTAAACATGGTTATAAAGTTATGATGAGGAAAGTAACTTCTTAAAAAGTTATGGTGTAAATTATAAATATTCATCTTTTTTAAAAAGTCAGACAAAAATTTCCTTGCAATCACCATATTTTAATAGATATGATTGCAAAAAAAACATCTTTTCACCCAAAAAAATACTAAAAAGCAACAGGAATAAATTCCACAATCTTATTACAGTCTGAAACACAAAACAAATTCCTTAACTCTGAGTCTACGAGCCGAAACTAACTTTCTACTAAACTATTTCTTTCTAGGACAATGAATATCCTTCTTACCTATAAAAAACTTAATTTTGAGACTTTCTACTAAACTACATCTTTCTAGGACAATGAATATCCTCCCTACCTATAAAAAACTTAGTTTTGAGACTTTCTAATAAACTACTTCTTTCTAGGACAATGAATATCCTCCCTACCTATAAAAAACTTAGTTTTGAGACTTTCTAATAAACTACTTCTTTCTAGGACAATGAATATCCTCCCTACCTATAAAAAACTTAGTTTTGGGACTAAGGAATATTATTGCTGTGTAACTGAACTTTTTTCATCCTTCTCATTGATGCAAACAAATAATAATTAAGAAATTAACTGGTAATTTTGGAGATCATCATACATACGTTGGAACAAGTGATTCTCTAAGTTACCCTTTGCCATATATTCATACACCAGCAGCCTGTGCTCATTCTCATAGCAATAACCAATCAACTTGACAAGGTGAGGATGCCTCAATTTCCCCAAAAATATCACTTCAGCCTGCCCCAAATAGATTAACAATCATAATTGCTAAAAAACTTGTTTTTTACAGATTAGCTAAGTGGAATTTGGGATCACTCTTATTCTTATTTTTGGTATATTTACATAATATCACATCATTCTTATGTATTTACATTTCTCCATCCAAACTTTCCTATTTACAAACATAATACTCACATATTTAATATCACATAAAAAAATAGCACTATTACCACTTTGTAGATATGAAATACAACTTTTTATTTATAGGTTTAAGGAATTATAGTGCTATCTATATAAATATGAAAGTTTAGGTATAAGATATGTAAATATAAAAGAAATGTGTGCTATGAATATAAATTTCCCTTCATTTATTTATTTATTTATTTTTTTTTTTGAAACTATTTGTTTAGTGTGTTTTCCCCATAACTTTAATCAACTAGTCAAAAATATTCTATTTCAAATCACAATATAAACTAAACAAAACAAAACAAAAACAATAAAAATAAAAATAAAAATGATCCCAAACGACGGGAAATATTTGCGTACGTAATAGCACACAGAGCTGCGTGCGTTATAACCTCACAATAACCTCCGTTTCGCGGTTATTAGGGGGTTATTGGGAGGTTATTGAGGTATTAATTCCAATGACCTATAATACAAATAACCTTCCAATAACCTTCGTGGGTTCTATTTCAATGTTACTCATAGGTTATTATTGGGTTATTGCAAGGTTAATGGAGTACGCACGCAGAGCTGTGTGCGTATTACGTACGCAGATATTTTCCCCAAACGGCACCTAAAAGTTTGAAAATTCAGAACCAAGAGCCTCACCAGCCACTCTCTGTCTCCTTGCCCTCCATCAAGATCAAGCAATTTCACTGCCACAGCCTGAGCCTCCATGCCAGGCCTTATCCTCTCATCAACAAACCCCTTGTACACAGGACCGAATCCTCCTCCCCCAAGGAAGTTGCTGTTAGAGAATCCCTTTGTCATCATCTGAAGCTCTGCAAGACTGAATACATGGAGGTTGGATCCAGCAAGAGAGACTGAGAGGTCTTCTAGAGAGAAAGAGCTTTGCTGTGATTCCAAATTCTTTGAAAAGTGATGAGAGCTATCTGACATCCCACAACATCCCGTGAAGAGAGTTCTCCATGAGCTCTCTGACATGCCAATTGGATTTGCAGATGCAGGGATAGGAATGAGGAATAGGTGGTCATGTAGAGTTGTTTAGATTGAGAGGGGAGAAGGAGAAGGGGATTGGTGTCTTAGGAGGGGAGAAGGGGTGTGGTAAAGATGGAAATTGTGTTGTGCAGAGCACACCAACTACTCAGCTAAATATATATGGGAAGATGAGGAGAGACTTTTGCTATGGCAGTTGGCAAGAGACAGGTTGGGGGAGTACAAAAAAGTTAGGAGATTTTCGTTGTCAAGGTCTTACCTACCAAAAAAAGAAAAAACGAAAAAAATGCCACTTTTTGACCTTGTACTTCTGCTGAGTTTGATTCAAGTTTGGGGCAATCATACGGCGTCGCAAGTAATTTTGCCTGTTTTTTTAAAAAAATTACAGCTGAAAGTTATGTTTTGTCGCCGGATCTACTTGAAAGCTAGCGGTTTTATCTTTTTCAAAAAAAAAAAATTATAATAATCACCACAACTTTCTGTTACAATCTTATGTAAAAATAGTTTCTTTTACAACAACTTTACAGTTGCTTCTTGGCTTCTGATTGAATTCGAGGAAAGAGTTCATAAAGAGAACTATTTTATTTTTTTTTATATTTTTAAAATAATTGTGTGCTTCTGCTCTGAAGAAATCATAAGCAGCTGTCAAAGCAGAATATCATCCTGCAATGGATTTGATTTTGAATTGTTCCAAATAATTACTTCTTTTGATCAGATCCACAAAACTGACATGTTCTCTGGCATTCGTTGGATAAAATTCTATGTAGAAATATTAAATGATTTATATAGTATCGTCGAAGTAAACCGTAGATAAATAATTAAATGGAACAGACGTGCCACCATCATCATGCTGATCTGGTGCAAACCCAGAAAGCATTCCTGAAAGTGACAGCTAACTTTTGCTGTACAGACCAAGGGATTATGCCATTTAATGTTAATGATATTGGCCTAGCTTTATTATTATTATTATTATTATTATTATTATTATTATTATTTTTATTATTTTTATTACATAAAATAAGTTAATTTTAATGTTTTTGCTGTGTTCTAGTTTTAGTTTTTATAATAAATGTTCTATATTTGTTTGTATTATTGACTTTAAGTTGAGTTGTAAGCATTCAATTAAGGCGACCTAGTTATTGGGATGCAGAGCTGCGTCCAGACAGAGGCAATGGTTCTCTGATTGCGGCAGAGAGAGAAAAAAAAATGACGCGATCAAGTTTATCGTGGCCGTTGCCCGGACGCAACATCGTTTGGACAACATACGCCAAAATCGGTCAGCCTTGAAAAGGTTCATGCTCTGCCTGACTTTAACTCATGCTCCACCCAAATTTAGGTATGTTTGACTTGAGGTTGACCAAATTTTGAAACAGAGCTTCAAATTAATCTGAAACTATTACTTTTTTTAATTCATTTAAAAAAAAATTATAGAACATGATCAACTTGTATATTGTAAATTAAAGTATTGTGAGTTTTGATAACTAAAAGGCTCACAAAATTATAATTTATATCACTCAATTGGTATGGATTTATAAAGGCACAAAAGTCTTAAGTTTTTTAGTAGATTTCATCAAATTGTGATAATTTTGCAAACCATTAAAAGAATTCAATAACATAATTAATAATATTATCACATAATTACAAGATATGTTCAAATAACATGACAATAATAGTTCAAATGTTGTTCAATGTTGAGGCACTAGTTTCTTATAGAGGGTGTTTGGTACACAATATTAGTAGGATTTATATCAGGATTCACATGGGTGGACCCACGTAGGGTCTAGGGGACAATTGCCACTTATATTCAGATTTTTACTTATATGGGGGAGCAATTTGGTTTTTTGCACCTCCTGAAATATGAGTTTTGTCTCTCCCGACATATCACTTTGCCCTTCGTAGCCCTAGCACCTTTTAAGTGGATTTAATGTAATTGAGGAAAAAAAACACATGCGGGTTGTTGCTTCTCTCATCTCCAAACACTTCAAAGAATTTAGCTGGATATAATTATAATCGAACCAAGCGTCTCTTTTGGATTTAACCATTTGGGATTTGATAAATCCAAACTTGTCATTTTTGAAAACGCTGTCTGCCGCGTTTATCCAAATTTACAGGATTTACTATATCCTATATAACTTAATGACCGAATGAAACGAAAGTACAAAATAATAATAATAATAATAATAATAATAATAATAATAATAATAATAATAATAAGCCCTTAATCGTTTCTTCCCAATCCTTTTTGCATATTAAGATTATGGACTCATAAAAAAATTATTTAACTAGATGCTTCTATTTTGAACTATAAGACATTTGGTTTGATATGATTGTGTGAAAATATTTGATTAGATTTGTTCAAAATCTTAAAACAATCCATTCTTACAAATATAAAATCATAATTAGTAAGATAAAGTTGGGGAGAAAAAAGTTTGATAAATTTAGGGAGAAAAACTGGTTGACAAAGCTAAGTTTTCCTCCACCCTCTTTCTATTCATCCCCTTGAAAGCCATTTGGAAGTGCTTTAAAAGAGGATTTTAATGGTTTCTATTTTGTTTTTAGAAAAAGTATTATTATTATTATTTTAAATTCATATTCTTTCCTTCACCATGAAACCGTCAATGATCCAATTGTCTCAGGCTTCGTTTGAAGAAGCTTCATCATTCAACGAAGTTTTTTAAAAATTCACGTTCCTCGAATGAAGAATGCCATCTAAAGTTGTGAAAACTTGTCATTTTTGAAAACGCTGTCTGCCGCGTTTGAGTTTCTTACACTAAACGCAGGCCGCGCGCGAGCCACGTTTCAGGATCAACTGCTTATCCTAAAATGCACAAACTACCCCAAACAGACCCGATGTCTAGCCAATTAGACTAATAAAATATTTCTCCCATCAGAGGCAGAACCAATCTTTCTTTGGGGGTGCAAATTTATTACCTTAAAAAATTTAATATTTGTCACACTTCACTATTTAAACAACAAAATATATACTTTGGCCACTTAGTTGAAATTACTTGACAACTTCTATAAAAGTTTAAAAAGATTAAATTTTAATAAGATTTATTTTTTAATCTTAGATATAATAATAGACATTTTAAATTTTAATCTAACTCAAAATAAAAAATTATATATTCTAATCTAAACTTAGAATTTAATATAAAAATATATTTGTTTAATATATTTATAACATACTTTAATATGAATTATTAAATGCATATATATTGATCATAATTTTCAAAAGAATTTCAAAGCTTTAAGATTTTTCAATGGCATGAGTTAAATTGAGGGCTTATATCTCATTTGCTTTCATGAAGATGCAAAGCATGTTAAAGATGAACACACATACACACACTCACCAAAGCCTTAGAAGAAAATTCTTATGGCTTAGTGAAATACACTTTGATTTAAGATGTTCACACATATATTTTTATATAAATACATACATATACAAATGTATAGATGGACTATATTTATAACATACTTTAATAAGTAATTATTAAACTATTTATATTGATTATAATTTTAAAAATAATTTCAAAATTTTAATCTTTTTACCTACATACCACTCCATTTTTATGTATTTATAAACCCTAAAACCTAAATTTCAATTTTTTGCATACATACCTGCTATCTATGCTGACAAAGTGTATTTTACTTTTTAAAAATTAAAAATATGTTCTTTTTTTTAATCTGATATGAAAGATTTAGGTGGTATAAATGTAAAAGGTAAAGTTTAGGTGTTAGATATGTAAATACATAGGTATTGGGTGGTATGCATGTAAATTTAATGTCTATCATAGTTCAATATTTAGATAACAAAATATATCTTTAGGTCCCTTAGTTAAAATCGGTTGATAACTTTTATAAAAAAGTCAAAAAGGCTAAATTTTGAAATGTCAACGCCATAAGATTATATTAATTTTTTTAATCTTAAATATAATAATAGAGCTGATAATTTAATTTAAAGCATTAAATTTTAATATAACTCAAAATAAAAAAAAAATTATATACTCTAATCTAAACTTAGAACTTAATATAAAAATATATTTGTTTAATATATTTATAACATACTTTAATATGAATTATTAAATGCATATATATTGATCATAATTTTCAAAAGACTTTCAAAGCTTTAAGATTTTTCAATGGCATGAGTTAAATTGAGGGCTTATATCTCATTTGCTTTCATGAAGATGCAAAGCATGTTAAAGATGAACACACACACACACTCACCAAAGCCATAGAAGAAAATTCTTATGGCATAGTGAAATAAACTTTGATTTAAGATGTTCACACACATATTTATATATAAATACATACATATACAAATGTATAGATGGATGTGTACATACAGATACATATGTATATGTATGTGTGTACATACATATATATATAATTTATGACTACCCTCAAATTCCTTTTCAAATGAATGTATGGTTTTTGTAGTGACTAGTTGTGGCTATCAAATGTACTCACTTATTTTATTTTTTATTGCCTTTCACATTGCTTTTCTTATTTTGGTCTCTTTTGATGCCTTTTGGAATATAAGTAGGTTATGATATTGATGGCAAAGGATATGATAAGGATATAGTCATTTATTGTAGATGTGATGTCTTCCTTAACATTTGTCGCATCTTTTTGTTATATGTAGTCTTTAACCTCTTGAGAATCTCTTTATGTTATCTTTCCTTTGTGTAATTCTATCTATTCACTTGCTTCTTCCTACATTTTTAAAGTCTGCACTGAGAAAACGTGCTTGGGCATTTCAAAAGGGTTATACTCAAGGTTGTTTAGTTGCATCCACACTCATTGTGTGGTGCATCGAGCTTACTACATTTGTGTTAAAATAACAAGTTTCCATACTCATTCAACAATGATGAGTTAAGCATTTATGGTGACTAATCATGACTTAGTTTGAGATTTCCATTGTGCCAAAAGATTGCCAATTTAAATGGAGTAATCCTTACTCAAGTTATTCCCAATTTGTCAAGAGTTACTTTATATCACATACGAGGAAGTAAAATATACTTTAGAACATAAATTTTTTCACCATCTCTTTTGGGCGCATGCCCTTAAAGATAGTTTCATCTAGTTCTCATCCACTCGCACCTGAA